GGCGGCGGAGGGGGAGGTTGCGATGAAGGGATGGGGAGGGTGGATGGAGTGAGGCCAGTCGGCGGTGTGTTTTGATGTGGCGTCGGTCATCGATGCAGTTGTGGAAAATGTTGGGAGAGATGGAAGAAGATGGTGGGTTTGATTATATAGGGATGGTGGGAGAGTCTGGTGCATTATCAGCCGTTGCTTTTTTTGGTAGATCAACGGTGTGGATTAAGGAACGTGGGAATTTAATGGAGGCGGTTCATTAATTTGCTTGACGATTCGGGTTTTAGATTTCGGTTAGTTTCACGAATCTTAAAGATGGTATAAGGGAGAGTTAGGATTTTGCATTTGGTCTGTTGCGGGCTTGAGTTGCATGGGATTTTTAAATCGTGTGATGAGTTGAGAGGTTTTCCTTGTGAAAGTGGAGAAGGGAGCTGAGCGTGGGTTCGAGGAAGAATCCGATTGGATTAATGACGTCATCGGACTTTTGACGGCTTCAACTTTCTAGCCGTATTATTATTACAAAAAAAAATGTTTTCTTATTTATTTTATTTAATGTGAGAAACAAAATTTTTATGTTGGATCCAAATATATTAAGAAAACACCATCTCGGTTAGAATACATAAGACCTAAAGCTTTTGTTGTTCACTTAGCACCTTTCATAAAAAAAAGTATGAAACCTCTTTTCACTAGGTTGTTTCCCCTCATGACAATTGGCTAGCAATGTACACTAGCATTTGTGTTTCTGAGTGGTTACAAGATTGGCAAGTTGTAGCAGTTCTACCAGTGTTTCGGGTTAGTGCAGGCTAAGCGAGTATCTAAACGATCCTTCTCATAGGAGTTGCACCAAGGCGGCATGGGCCACAACCGGTTCCAGGTCTTCCATTTCCAACATATCTATCTAGAAGAAAGTAATAAAACTTTGAGCTATTCCATGGGTTATTGGCACATTCTAAGCAATGTATAGAAGTTCTTTTGTGGTTTCTTTGTGCTCGCAAATTGAATGAGGAATATCCTCTTGAAATCCTATAATCAGGCGATTAGCCCTTAGAGATAGGTGAGTGAGCCTCCTTAGAGCAAATTTCTTCAACATGGCGAAGAATAGGTGCAGCTTGAACAAGTCATTGAGTTTGAGGAAAGACTCAACGACTTCAAAGGAAATCATATGGTCTAAGGAATTAGTTCGCCCTAGTAGGATTTCAAGGAATATATTTTAACTTCTTAGGGGTAATGCTTTCTTGATCTCTTTGGAGGACGTGCTCACCAATTGTGATTCTATTTTATTTATTTTTCTAGTCAATCTTTGACAGAAAGAAGAGGCTAGTGCTATAATCTGTTATAATGAAAATAAGTGTTATAATCTTCTCCGTTGAATGACATTGAGGCTAGTGCTCCCAATACCTCTTATTTACTCCTCTTTAGCACTGGATCAAAGGACTGTATAGAGATCTCCAAACGATAAGCTATTCTAAGGATATATTTGTTGACATGTTTGATCATCTTATTCATCCCCGCTTTTATATTTGCTACATGTTTTACCAGGAACTCTTGGTGTCTCCGTTTTTTTATGGATGTCTCTCTATAAATGTGATTTATATCTCGAGGCACGACCCTTCTATTTTGTGGCATATTCACACTTAACAAAACTAAAATGATGTTTGATTCAAATTTATCTAAGGATACACCATCTAGGTTGGAATGTTTACACGTGAAAGGCATACACCAAGGTAAATCCTCCTATAAGTTTCTTGTAAGACCATCTATAACTAAAATAAAAACATATGGGCTTCAAGTAGATTCCTAATGTATTCCAACTGAAATAGAAAAATATTAGGTCAAACCTCTTTCAAGTTGCTAAACCCTAAACCCTAAACGCATTCTTAAAAATAAATGAAAATAAAAGGGAAAATAAAGAGGAGAAGTTACTAAACGAAGAAAAATGGGAATTTCTAGGTACTATAAGCTGTGACATGTTGTTGCGTCCCCAACTAGCTCTTATTGCGACTATATTGCGACGGTTCGGTGACGAAGGTGATGATTTTGGACGAAACAAAGAGGTGGTGGAGGGATATGCATGTGATTGTTTCGGGTAGAGGAGCAATGTAGGTGAGGGCTTCGGGTAGAGAGGAGTAATGTAGGTGAGGGTGGAGGATTAGGCTAACCGGGAAGGACACGATTTAGGTGGTATAAAAGGATTGTCTCCAAAGATTTATAAATGATTCTCAATCTGTCGATTCTTAACACTATGATCGACAAAAAGTGTTGTCGCTTATTAAAAAAAGCATCAGTAAATATCCTGTCAGATAGTGGTTCAGAAATAACCAAAGAAATATGATTATCAATTAATATTTATTTATAACTGACAGTTTAATGCGTCAGTAATAATTAAAATTGTTGAAAAAAATATTACTTTTGATAAGGTATATAGTCCGTCTTGTAGTTATATCGTCGCAAATACCTCATATCATAAACCATCTCTAGACCTACAAAAATAGATATCAATTTTTTCTAACGTAAATTGAGGCTGTCGGTTTTAGCATTTTTTCCTATCGATTTAAAATATTTTTGTTCAAAATGGATTGAAATTCATGAATGATTACGAACAAATTCTCATAAGGCATCGCTTAATAAAAATTATACCATCTATATAAATTTAAAAACTATCCAAAGTTCAAGAAATAAGAGCCGTCACAACTTGGTTCTTCCACCGGTTAAATCGACAACAATTAACATTTTGTTTGAGAAGGAATTCAAGCTCTATTCAGGATGCTCACGTGCAGATTTATTTTCGTTTGATAAATCAGCATCTCCCAACTCCTCCTAGAATTATTTTATCACACCCTCAATTTTTTATCATTTTAGAACTCAAATGATGATTTTCATTCCGCCACGTGATTTTAAAGGAGCTTCGCAGCTTGAGGTTTTAAAATAAATTATTAGATTAACCCCCTTGCACAGGACGAGCTTGTTGGCTAATGAATGAATGAACAAAGCTCTGGCTCCTTATTCTGGATCGGAGCTCCGGTCAAAGTCGGCAACTGTATTAAGGACCTTGACGGTGACTTGGCAGCCACGTGCTACTTAACACACAAAACATATAAACATAATAAACGTTATTACACTCCCTAAATATAACAAAAAGTTTATCATATAAATATTTTCACTCCTGTGCGAACGGCATTCCACGTGAAGGGTAGCAAGAGGTGGGCCAGGGAGAACCAGCAGGCTTTGGGTGTCGTCAATGGTGGGGCCCGCATGATGTCATGGACTGAAGCCGAGGGTTCTTTGGGGGCAGCTTATCCTGAAATGCGGCTTGAGGGGTTCGACCCGCAACCTGCGTTTAGTGTAAAAATGAAACCCCTTTTCTGATAAACGGACAAAACGTGCGATACAAGCGGTATCACGATATTTTCAAAAATGCCCCCGCACTTATAAGCTGCCCCAAACGGGCCCTGAGTATGTCTGTTAAAACGGACAACGCCGGGAAAGCAGAAGGTGGAAATAGTGAACATCTAGCCCAACTTTATTGAATAATAAAAAAAAAAAACAATACAAAAATAATATTTCAGAATAAAAAGAGGGAAAAAACATTGATACAAATGCAACTCTAAAAATAATAAAGGCCTACACAACTAAAGAAGTACAATCTTCAAACATCAGATTATTGGATCATTTTGCTCTCCACAACACATCTTATAAAGTTTGGAAATGCTCAACTTTAAAGAAAGTAACCAATCGCCGAGTCACTAAACGAAGCCTCCAATATTATTAAATCTAGAACTGCACAATTCAGAATATTAGCTGAAAAGATTTACAAGTCACCAACTCCCATAGTTATAGCAGGGTTCAAGTGTCTCGAATAAAAAGATTAAACAAAAATCAAAGTATTGGACCAAAAGAATCAAACAACAAACCTAAGGCACTCAATGCTGAAATGAATACTGGAATAGAGCAATTATAAACCATTTTAAAGGTTGCAAGTCTTCATAATAGTAAAAAGGTCAGGTTGGATCAGTTAGAAATCAAACAACAAAAGATAATAATTGAGTAGTAAATTATCTTAACAAACAGTCTATAAAAACAAAAGAAATATATAAATAAAGTTAAAAAAAAAGAAAGGAAAAAGCTCGTGAAAACCCAAAACAACACTAAGTAATTCTATTAGAGTAAAGAAACATTATCTCAGTATAAATCCTTAAAAAAAATGGTTGAGACCAAGTTTCCATCTATATTTATATGTAAAGGAATATACCAAAAAGTAGTCTCAATAAAATGGCAAAGAACTAAGTGAGTGGGAACATCATAGCTAAAACTTTAAAAGGCAATACCAACAAAAAAAATCATCAATAATAGTATCTGTACAATCAATAAAATATCAGCAATAAACAAAAAACCCTAAAAGAAAAAAGAACAAAGCATGACAATAGTAGAAACCAAAATCCATAAACAAATAAAAGACATAAGAAAGAGACAAGGGAAAGACTTAAAAAACACCACACAAAACCAACTAAACGCTATGTGGTTATTTTTTTTTCTTTTTTTTTTTTACGCGGCCACCATAGCCATCGGAAGACTTCCATCTGAATGATTACATACGACATTCAAAAAATAATATATTACTTCAAAGGATAGAATTATTACCTCATAATGGACCAAATCATATGGATGTGGAAATTTTTAAGATTTATGAATTAGCGGATTAGGACAGTTGTAAGATAAGAGTTAAATCTGGAGAACTTGTGCCAAAATCTCATAGTTAATTACATCTCTAGGGTCACACACTACAAAGAAAACTCATGATTAATACAATAAGCCAACATTTTCAAGATTAAGCTTTAGAAGGATGAATGTGACTTACGAAACAAGGGCCCAGATAAAGAGTGATACTTGATGGGAAGTGATTTTAGAAAAAAAACTTAAGATGGTGAATTTAAATGGATCGCATTAGGTTAAGAGAATTAT